GTCAGGCAATATGTAATGCAGTTAGGTATATTTTGTGTTGCGGTCCTCTCGTAACTTATTTTTGTATTTGTCGAAAGCTGTGTGTTGGCAACCGCGGGTTTTTGGTAGTTGTCAATGGGGATAAAAAAACAGTCAGTTATTGGACACAGGGTTGCCAGGTCTCATGATTTTTCATGAGATCTCATGATTTGGACACATTTTTCATGATTCCATGATTTTCAACAAAAATCTCATGATTTTTGGCGCAAAACACAATTACTCATTACTCCCGTAGTTCCGAGTCTGTTGCCATGGCTAATCGCAAGAAACAGTTTAAATACGTCAACTTTAATTGGACATTTGCATACCATAGATTTAGTAAGTAAAGATGGTGCAATATGTGCTAATTTGAAATAAAAAAAGAAATGTTCAAAAAATGAAACAAAAAATTTATGAGTCTGACTCCGAATAATATAGTATTAGTAGTTTCCTGAGAGGGTAGTTCCTACCAGAGAACATTGAAAACAATGTTCCTACCGTATCGTTATTAGTTACCTAGGAAGTAGGTACCAATTGTTTTATGTTTTGAAGCTTTGTTTATTTTATACTAGTATATTTTATGTTTTATTTTCAAGAAAAAAGTTATTTTTTTGTTCAATAAAAATGCATATTAATAAAATAGGCCCATTTTTTTTTTTTAATTCCCAGATAAAATCTCATTATTTTTACTGAAAATCTAATGATTTTTGTTGCATTTTCTCATGAATAATTTTTTTAGACCTGGCAACCCTGATTGGACATCCATTTGGGTGAGAAATAATTTTAATTTAGTGTGAAGAGTAATCTTTACCTGCCGAAGAGGGATTGTTTAGTAAATTAATTAATATAAGTTGCAGAATTGTTGATTGGTCCGTTGCGCTACGAATTTTGGTAAATTTTTTAAGTTGTACCTGTAAAAAGATGTTTAACACTTGTTCGTATTCGATGTAAGAAAAGCCGCAGTGATATTTGCTGGATTTCAATAGAAATAAGTGGGTATGTACATATGTTTTTATTTGATTATTTCCAAAGGATCCTATTATTTTTTTTGCTAACATTGATAACAGCCAACTAGTAAAGATCTGAGACTACGTCTCGATATTTTATAGTATTAGAACATTGCATTAAATAAATTCTAGGGTTACTTTGCCTAACCTAGTGATTATTCTATTTAAAATTTGTAGGGTCTTTTCCTTCTCATTTCGTTTTTGTGTGTAGCCCCAAAGCTTTCGCCAGCAACTGTTTTTTTTTCTGTCTTACTAAGAAAGTTCTGGAGCAGTATTTATCCCTATGCAACCGAAACTATAGTGTGGAGTCACCTTACACTTTCCTTATCGAATGCAAAGTAGCACACACCCCATCCGCTGATAAGTAGGGCTGAGATTGGTCCATTAGTGGAGCTTAGTGAGTTTACCTAACCGTAAACAGTGAGGTATTTATGTGATACATTTTAAACAATCTTCTACTCAATAAAATCAGAAGAACGAGCCAAGTTTGTTTTTTAAATATTTATTTAGAGATTACAGGGACCAGGTCCCGTTAATGTGTTAGATTTAGTATATGCCATTGTCCTTTTCACAAGAAAAAGGATAAAAATGGAATTAAATCCTCCAGAACTCCTAAGCACAATACTAAACTTTGCAACGGAGATTAAGTACCTAGATCTCACCTTTGACAGCAAGTTAACATGGAACTAACACTTAGAAAACAGAATTAAAAGAGTATACGTCACTTATGAACAATGCCGCCGAACTGTGGGGCGCATCTGGGGTTTCTCCCGCAGAGTCGTAGCATGGACTAACACGGCCTCTGCTAACATACGGTGCAGTTGTCTGGGTACAGAAAATCCAAAAATTGACATCTTTCCGCAAACTAGAACACAAACACAAAGAACAGCATGTCTCAACATAACAGGAGGCATGAAAACTACACCGACCAGAGCCATGGAAGGCATTCTTAATTTCACTCCCTTTCAGTAAATATGAGTAAATTACTACTAATTGATTTGCCTCGAACGAAACCGTATTGTTTATCCACTATGATGTTTTATACATGATCTAGCAATTTGTTCGAAAAGTTTTGAAAGAGCAATTTATTGCAATTCCTCTACAGTTTTTGATTACTGATGTTTTCCTGCTTTATGAAGGGAATACAAAACGTTTAACAATTAAATTATAAATTTGCAACAATGGTATTTTTAACGAGTGACTACGTCCTTTTAAAATATATAGTGGAATATTGTTCCCGCTGTCTTTTTTGGCATTCACTTTTTTACGGCTACGTTAAAATAACAGAATAAATAGAAGAGCTGGAAGTGGCAGGTACAATTCATATCTACACCGACGGTTCTAAAACAAAACAAGGCTCAGGATGTGGAATATACTCAAGATCCTTAAAACTAGACATAAAATGGGGTATGTGCAAAAATGCCGGTGTAGTTCATACAGAGATCACAACAAAATAAATCACCAGAAACAATATCACTGGAAGGAACATGCTCATCTATACAGATAGCAGACAAACACTACTCACCCTTAACAGACCACGAATTTACTCAGGGTTAGTACTAGAATGTCACGAAGCTTTGGCAGAAGTTTCCATCAACAGTGTGGTCGTCTTAAGATGGATCAAAGGTCACGCCACATTGAAAGGTAACCGTCTTGCTGATTCACTGACCAAGAAAGCAACCAACCAAATACTTTTTGGACTTGGTCCTTCTATTGGCCTAACAAAATCGGCAGTGACAGACCTAATTAAAGAATATTCCCTTGTAAAATTCAAAGAAAGATGGGATGAAATAAAAAACTGCAGAGTTGTCACGGAGCTTTTAAGTTATCCTGACACAGTAAAGAAATACTTGATCATGACTTGACAGAATCTACGCTTGGTCACAGGCATTCTGATTGATCATTGCCAAATAAGGAATCATCTACATATCATGGAGTTGTCAGAATCTGCACTTTGTAGGGGTGCGAACAAGAAGATGAGACCATCGAGCATATCCTCTACGATTACTCGACGTTCTCATTTATTAGAAGACTCCGGCCGATATAAGAGAAGCACCTCTTGGCTATGTTGTTAACTACATTAAATCTGTAGGCTGGCTCACGAACTGGAGGTGCCTATATCATCTTAGGAAGATGCATAATGGGTATAGTGAGGCCTAAATGTCGTGGGGTAACCCACTCTCCAGACGTTACAGATACAAATACAGAACGGTTGTACATATTGAGGAAATGATTGTCAGGTTAATAATAATATATTCATTGGAATATTGAAATTAAAGAGAGAGAAAACTAAGCTATTTAGTTTTATTTATGCTGTCCAATAGCAGTCGGGCTTGCGCGATTATGTGCGTATCATGCTGTGGTTATATGGGGATAGTTGTGTTTACGTGTCATTTGCGCTTAAGTTATAGTATTTAGTTGACCTTTATCCTGTGGAATAGTCAATTTGGTGATTTGGTGCCTGGTTTTCAACAGGTGGATATTTCTAGCAAATTATACTGGCGCCCTTTTAAGAACTTTTTAATTATTGGACCACCCCACCTCCGACTAAAGCTATCCGCGGAAATACCCCAAATAGTGCACCCCTAAATGGTGCATTGTTTTAACAAAATCCTCCGAAACGTCAATGTGAAGTTTATAAAAAGGTAATAAAAAGGACCAAAATCATTTATGGTTATTCGATTATACACATACATCACTTTCGACTTCATCTTCCAAAAAGTTTAAATTTTTAACCAATTTATTTGAGTAAATAATCTTTTCAAATACCACGCGAGGTGAGATTTTTTTGATAATATTTTGTGGTTTCCATACAAATTATGCAAATTTTACTTTAAAATTCTCCTGAAATATTATTTTAAAAAACATTTTATTTCGTGTAATTTAGACGCATAATTTCCAAAGAAACCACAAACTGTTTTTCATCTCTTGTGGTATTACTCTTGAGTATTTCTGGTTTAAATACAGAAAAAGAATAGTTTCAACTATTACAGCTCTGAACTTAAACAGGTACGGTCAGACTACAAAAATTGCCAGACGTATAAGACTAGCTACGATTTCAAGCCCAATCATCTTTAATTTATGAGCCATAGCCATTATAAGTTTTTAAGCCCATATATGCTAGTTTTTAAAATATAAAACAGTGTAGCCGTGTATAGTTTTCTTCTAAGCAAACCGCGTTTAATTAATCTAAGAGACGTATTAATATTGGTACGCCACTGGAATCAAAATGTAAATATTCATCATCTCCCCCAATTAATGGAGATTGGAAATCCAATTATGAATGAGTTTTACATTGAGTAATTTTGATTTGTGTACATACAGGATGTTTGTCAACCTGGCGTATTTCTCTTCTGGAAGATACTTACTTTGGGGGATTCAAATATAGGTGACGTTTTGCAAGGCATGAGGCGTCGGTTAATAATTCAGGGATCAAAACTAAAAGCTTAAATTATAATTCAGGGCTATCTGGTGGGTTTTAGGTAGAATTTCGTATGCACGATTTCTGGTACCTATATTTAAAATTATTTTAATGTAATGTTCATAAGCAACGAAAAATATATAAATTTAGGATAAATAAAGGTCACTGAATTTACTAAGTTTGGCTGGTTAAAACTTCACAAGTTCATATCAAGCGCAAGGATTATCTTCAGGATTAAAAATGCCGGCAGGATGATATTTTTTCACATTTTGAGGACTTGTATCTTCCGAACCAGTCAAGACACCCCGGTACGGTCACAATTATATTCCAGACCTTGTTCTCAATGATCATAGGTAGTATCTCCCTTTTCCCGCTCAGCTACCACGTATTTTAACGAGTTAACACTCTAAAAAACGCCTTTTATAACTGTACCAACTCTGCCCTCTCTACTCCTCTTACGCCGCTCCCAACTCTAGCCTGTAATGTCATTCTTCGTTTTCGTGCGAAGCTACTTCGTTGATTTTTGCATTCTGTCCGAAAAAATTGGATAAATAATGGGAAATTTAAGAAAAAAGAAAACCTCAAGTTCTTCCGAAGACTCCTCAAGCTCATCCGATGAGTTTGAGTTGTTAAAACTCAAAAATAAATTGCTCAAACGAAAATTGAACAAACAACGCCATGGTCATGGCGGTAAAAAACGTCGACATGTGTCGTCGTCAGAAGATGGAAGGTCCTCGGAAGAGGACGCTTATAATGAATCCGAGAAGGAAAAAGGTAGGTTTATAATAACGATGTTTGTTTTAGATCCGAAATGAGGCTAATAATTTGTGTCCTATATATGACTTAAGGCATAGGAGTTTATAGAAACAATCCTTAATAAAACTATGCTCATAAGGGCACGGCCTAAGGGTCTATGTGGACCCGTCACTAAGCTCATATGGGCTTGATTCCAGTAAAGGTGTAATTTTCATAGGAAAATGTTCCTAAAAACAAATAAACTAGATGTTTTTTTTCTTACAGAATAATATGTGTTATGCGACATAAATATTAAAATGTGTGTATTATTTCAGAACAAAACTCAGAACAAACTGATCCCTTGGGAATTGAATTTGTAGAAGTTCCTTCTCTCAGTGGGGAAATACTTGAAGTATTAGGGCCCAAGCAGGCAACTGTCAGTAATGTGTCTGAAGACATTCATAAAGATTTAGTGATCAGGTGGGAACAAATAATAAAAAAGGGACTTAATATTGATGATAGAGAGGAATTACTAAAAAAGTACCCACATCCCCAAAATTTCGTAAGCCTCTGCTCCCCAAAAGTTAATCCAGAAATAAATGAGGCTATAGATGCCGCAACAAAGAAAAGAGATGAAAAATTACAGTCGAACCAAAAAATAATGGTAGCAGCAATATCAGCACTAGGTAAAGCTCTTACCTTTCTAATCGATGAAAATAAAGAAAATACGCCATTATCCTTAATTGAACCTATTAATGATGCAAGTAAGTTAGTAGCTGAACTCTTTAAGGATCAGACGTTAGTTAGACAGAGCCTAATCAGTAAAATATGTGGCGGGAATTGAAGCTACAAATGGTTTTCTATTTGGAGAAAATTTGACTGACAGGGTTAAGGCATCAAACGCTTTGAAGAATTCTGGGGACGAACTAAAAAGGTCTAAACTTAAGAAGCATTTAAACTTCAAACAGCCGTCCAAACGTCTTCCAAGTGTGGGCGGCTATACTCCATACAGATATGCAAGAAACACTCCATTGAAATACGTAAGCAAATCCAGACATCATCACACAGTATCTCAAAAGCCAAGAGGGGATCATCAAGAATGAGGAAATATTAACTTCTCAAGTAAGTTTTGAAGCCGGTCAGTTGGCCAGGTTCATGCCCCAATGGGAAAAAAATTGTAAAGATAAGGTAAACCTTTCATGGTTAAATGGGTACAAATTACCCTTTAATAATAAACCAAGGCAAAATCAGTCTCCAAAATTCAAAAACTGGTCAGTTTCTGAGAAGAACTTAATAGCTTCTCAATTAACTCATTTAATAAATATTAAAGCTATCAAAAAATGTAGCCCTTCTAATAATCAATTTTTATCTAGTATATTTTTATTGTCTAAACCAAATGGTAAAAAACGTTTAATTCTCAATCTTAAAAAATTAAATCAGTTTCTATTTTTAAAAATGTTAGGATTTTGTATGAATATAGATAAGAGCCAGTTAATCCCCTCCAAACAATGTCGGCATCTAGGATTCATTTTGAATTCTCAAACCATGTCCTTGAGCCTCCCAGATGAAAAAAAAAACTAATTTAAATGTAGAAATTACTAATATTTTGAGAAAACAAAAATGTACCATACGAAAATTTGCAAAAATAGTGGGCAAACTAGTTGCTGCCTGTCCGGCTATACCATTAGGCTGGCTGTACATAAAACAGTTTGAGCGCGAAAAAATTATAGCATTAAAAAAGGCTGGTGGTAATTGTAAGGCCACCATATCATTATCTAGTTCCACAACATCAGACTTAAAATGGTGGAGAGAACAGGTTGGTAAAGTCATTAATATAATCCCCAGTAACAAATTCATTAAGGAGATATATATACAGATGCTTCTCAAATAGGGGGGGGGCAGTCTGTGGCAGTGAGACACACCAAGGGGTTTGGGGCCCTGAAAAGAAACTTCTCCATATAAATGAATTGGAATTAATAGCGGCGTTTTTTGGGTTGAAATCCTTTGTACAGTCTTTAATAAATTGTAAAATTTTGATGCGAATCGACAACACCACTGCCATATCATACATCAATAGAATGGGAGGTACTAAATTTAAAAATGTCAACAATATAACAAGAGAGATATGGCAGTGGTGCGGCGAAAGATAAATACGAATTTTTGCATCTTGTGTAGCCTCAAAAGACAACATAGCTGACGATGCATCAAGGAAATTTAACAGTGAGACAGAATTTGAATTGTCTTTCAGGGCAATGGTAGTAATAACTAAAAAATTTGGTGTCTCAGACATTGACATGTTTGCCACCAAAATAAATTCTAAATGTCAGAAATGTGTATCCTGGAAACCAAACCACGAAGCAGTGGCGACTGATGTCTTTACAATTTCTTGGTCAGGGTGGTATTTTTATGTATTCCCTCCTTTTGTAATGATATTAAAAGTTTTGCAAAAGATCATATCTGATGGGGCAGAGGGAATTATAGTGGTGCCGCAGTGGCCTTCTCAGCCTTGGTTCCCTCTGTTTCAGGAATTGCTCGTTTTACCACCTGTAATATTTGAACCTAGTAAAACCTTATTACTTTCTGTCAATAGAATCCCTCATCCCATGTGGAAGTCTCTAACGTTGATGGCAGGTCAATTGTCTGGGAGGCTTTCAGCCGAAAAGGGTTGCCAGATGCAGCAATTGAAGTCTTGTTGGCTTCCATAACAACCGCAACTATGGAACAGTATTCTTCAGGCTTAAAACAGTGGCACGACTATTGTATAAGAAACTCGATGAATATGTTTGAATTCTCTGTCTCCAATATTATTCTTTTCTTAACAGAAATTTTTCAAAATAATCGCTCTTATGGAACGCTCAATTCCATTAGAGCATCTCTTTGCTTAATTATATGACCTGAAGTAGGGGAAGATTATCGGATTAAACGATTTTTTAAAGGAATATCAAATATAAAACCTTCTACTCCAAAATATGATTTTACTTGGGGTCCAAGTATTGTCTTGTCTTACCTTTATAAGCAATATCCTAACAACATCTTATCTCTAGAACAACTCACTTACAAACTTATTATCCTTTCAATTTTAATCACAACACAGAGAGTTCAGACATTAACCTTCATTGAATTGGACAATATTTATAAAAAAAACCAGATGGTTATAAGATAAAAAATCCCCACCGCATAAAAACTTCTGGTCGAAATAAAATGCAACCTGTGCTGCAGATTCCCTACTTTAAAGAAAAGCCACTCTTATGCGTAGCTGCGGTGCTAGAATGTTACCTTGAACAGATAAAGGGTATTAGGGGATCAGAATCCAAATTAATATTGACATGCAAAAAACCCTATCAACCTGCGACTTCTCAATCCGTAAGTCGTTGGATAAAGACAATTCTATCTAATAGTGAAATAGATACATCTATGTTCTCTTCTCATTCTACCCGACACGCAGCAACGTCGGCAGCTAACAGAATGAGAATCAGCATTGACACAATAAAACGTACAGCAGGTTGGTCCGATAAGTCAACTACATTTGACACTTTCTATAACTACAATCTTAAATTTGTAGCATAATAATACATAGTTATGTTAAAAACCATTTTTTATTGTAATAATTTGTTTATTAATACATAATTTGTTAGATGTTAAAACCCTTTTTTTTTTTCTATTGTAATAATTTTTTTTATTAATACATAGTTTGTAAGATGTTAATAACCTTTTTTTTGTAATTTGTTTCATTTTTCTGTTGTGAGAAGCAGTTCATCAGTAAAAAACTGCAGTGTAATTGTGTTTAAACGTTTTTTTAAACATCTACCTATGATCATTGAGAACAAGGCGTGGAATATAATTGAAAGATCAAACGAACTTATCTGAAGTGAAGTTTGATCTCAATTATATGAAACGCCTTGTTCGAGATGATCGAACCCATCCCAACCCTAAAATAAAATGTGTGGTAAGTTTATTTCATTAGCATTAGGTTCTTTCGTTCGTCCCACTGGTGTAGGAATGAACTACACCAACGTACAATAAACCTTTCGTTCGGCCTGGTGTAAAATCCACTAAACCTTCCTGTCGGCGATGTGGTGTCCACTTGTGGATATTTTCTCCACCAGCTATTTAGCAGGAGTGAATTACACTCGACATGTATATAAGGAATATGGAGGGAAGTAAACTAAGGTAAATAAGGTGGTGTAACTGGTGTAATTTACACTGGTGGACACTGCACCAACAGCAAACGAAAGAACCTAATATGTACAGCTTTAAAAAGAATGACATTACAGGCTACAGTTGGGAGCGGCGTAAGAGGAGTAGAGAGGGCAGAGTTGGTACAGTTATAAAAGGCGTTTTTTAGAGTGTTAGCTCTTTAAAATACGTGGTAGCTGAGCGGGAAAAGGGGGGTACTACCTATGATCATTGATAACAAGGCGTTGAATATAATTGAGATCGAACTTCACTTCAGGTAAGTTCGTTTGATCTTTCAATTTTATTTACTCAAGGCTTAGTAAAAAGCGCAACGGGTTATCTTAATTCGTTCGGAAGATACAAGTCATCAAAATCTGGAAAAATATATCGAGACACCCGTTATTACATAGAAAGTAGTAGTGGATTTATAAATAATAATTGCACGAAAAAGGCCTTATATTTTCTTTCCATTTAGTGAAACTTATTTCAGATTATTGGGCAACCACTTAGCAGTTTATAAACAACTGCTCAAATTTTCATATATGACTTTTTTGATATTAAAATAGACATATCTGTAAATATTTTTTCTTTGTTCTTTGGTCTTATAAGTAAAAAATTCAATAAACAATGAGACTTATGAAAGTCGGTAGTGATTTTGGCTTATGGGTGTCCAGGTACCTGTGTAAACCGGGCTATTCTAGGCTATAAATTTATGGAATAAATAATCACAATATATTATCATGATAAATTTAAATAAATGGAACTTTACAAATAATTTATTAATATCATACCTCATTTCTTTATCGCACTTATTGCCCGCCAGCACCATAGGCACGCGAGGCAAAGTCTTTTTCCTTGTCAGACCGACTCCGGTAGAAGATGTTCCCGCGTTCACTTTAGTTTCTATGATTTGTTCCCGTAGTCTTATTGCTTCTTCAAAAGTTTCCCGACTATCCATGCTGAATACGATCACAAATAAATCTCCTGAAAAAAAGAGAAAGTGGTATTAATAAAAACGAATTTGGAATCAAAGCAGAGCAGAGCAAAGCATGTTGATTATTTTGTTTATTGTCGACATTATATTTATGATGTTTATTAATGTTTATAAAATCTTTTATTTGACCTCTATTAAAAAATAATTTTATTAATACATAGTAAAGATTTATCCCGGTATTTTTCAAATTTTGTATTTTGTATTCTGTATCCGTATTTAAAGTATTCGACCAATGAATTCGATAATATATGAGTTTATAATGTGCAGGTTTTTATGAGGCAAGTTCTTTATTTCTAGATTCATTTTATGTCAAGGGTGGCTCCAGAGAGTGGACATGCCCCACTCTCCCCACTCCCCCAAAATGCTATTTTATACAAAATGTTCTCATTATTGGATAAAAGTAATGAGTAAGACTTGGGAAGCTAAAAAAAAAATCGTTAGCCAATTCAGTCTGGAGTCGCTCTTGTACTAGTTTATCTTTATTAAAACTCTTTATAAAACTAGGTAATGAATTGTAATGCGAGCCATTTCATTATTAATTCATGCTCTATCCTCCAAGTCCCCCTCTGTCTTATTTGGCCTTTGAGGCTCAACTTATCCGATTATCATACATAATTAAACCTCTTAAGACCAAACATGTGACGACTATGGCGAAGGCGCTTTCGAATACATTCCAGAATAAACGTAATAATGTTTCTAGTTTTGGCGGAAGCATTCTAGATCATCACCAGAATTTTCAATGTTTTTATAAATATTGGTGAAAAAAAAAAAAAAAACGGAGCAGACACTCGTATTCAAAGAGTTGTGAAGATAAATAGTGAACAATTTAAAGAAATTCGAAATATATATAAATTAGAATTAAAAATGCATTTGACATAAGATCCATTAGCTCAGGTTGTAGGGTAGTTGCAATTTTAACGTTGGCTTACACGACGGGTCCGCGGGCATAGCCGCCGAATCCCTGGGGCTCGGGGAGCAGTTTTAAACTGGGTGCAGAGCACCCATAGCATAACATAGATAAGAAATGATAATAAGTTAAATGTAGCTGTCGTGACTCAAGTTGGTAGAGCGAGAGGATGCCTCTATTCGGCATCAGTGTTTGATTGGCAGTCAGAGTTGTGAGCTGTGACATTGCACGTTGCAATAATCCTAAGGCTAATGCAAATAATAAAGCTTCAGATGACATGCTTTGGTCGCCGTAAAGTAGTAAATTTAGTTTATTTTGTTGTAGAGTCGATATAAAAGTAGCTTATCAGTGATAATGGTTTACTCAATTGCTGAGAGGGTGTAAATAATTTCACTTTTTTGTGAACAATGAATATGCCAACTGTTTAAAAATCAACATCAAAATCGACTAGTCCATCGAAAGTATATTTTGCAGTTAGTCCAAAAATTTTGGGAAACGGGGTCTATAGCTAACAAAAACGTAAATGAAGCTACAGAGATGACGATTTTAGGTTATGTTGTTCAAGAACCCACATTGTGTTCAAGACAGTTGGCGATAACATCTGGTATTAAGAGAAGTAGCATTCAGAAGATAGTGACAAAAAAAATAAGTTTCATCTCTACAAAATACATCTGGTACAAGAACTTAACGAAGACGATTATGATAGGCGATTACAATTTTGTGAAATGATGACTGAACGGGCAAAAAATGATAAGCAATTTTTTTTCAAGGTGTGTTTTTCTAACGAATACACTTTTTTCTAAATGGTGCAGTAAGTGGTCACAACTTACCTCATTTTGCACTGACTGTTCGTCCGTATTTGGATCAAACATTTCCAGAATGGATCGGAAAAAGAGGAAGTATTAAGTGGCCCACACGGTCTCCGGATATGACCCCGTTACTTTTTTTATGGGGCCACTTAAGAACTAAAATGTATGTCACCCAGCCAACATTACTGGAAATTCTGCGACAACAGATAATTGATGAATGTCATCAAATCACCCCACAGATGCTTCAAAATGTCCGAGAGCGTTTTAAACAAAACCTCTATTATTGCATGGATGCTTTGGGTTAGCATTTACTCGAGTAAATGGTAATCATTTAAAGAAAATAAAAATCATTAAAAGAACATGGCTAAAAAGACAATAGGGATTTAAAACTAGGTAAAAATACTTTCAAAATAAAATATCAATTGACCCCTTTTCATTGAAGATTTTAGGGGTAAGTTTCACCCCTGCTAGAGGGTTTCTGTTCAGTGGGTGAAACTGGCCAACAAATGTTTCCCCTTAAAATTAAAAATTGACGGGTCCCAGCGTTTTTTCATAAATGACCTGGGGTGACCAAAATTGGCTGTATATATCCACAGGGAAGTATCCTCCCCATCGGGGGTTCTCCTTGTAGGAGATTCCCAGTAGCAGCTCCAGCTCAGGATCTCTATAGTTTAAATTAAAAGTCTTTTTTTTGTATTTTTTGTATTTTGAATCGCGGTTGACTTGAGTCAAAAGTTGTGACATGTGCCCCAAAATTGGTGTTGGTAAGTTAATTTGTTTTTTAAGATATTTATTATAGTTTTAGCCCATATTTGTTTATATCCAGTTGCAACATAGGTCTGTATAATTATTCTAAATATTTATATCATTATATTCGTTTTGAGAACACTGTGTTTTCTTCAGCCCTTAAGTTAGGTTCTGATATCGAGAGTAGAACGCTTCTAGTTAAGGGCTACGAAGCCAAATTTAAGGCTAAATAGTGTTTACGTGTTTGAGGCCCGAATTCATATATTTTCTTATTTAACTCCCGGGACATAAATAGTCCCATAATTATCAAAGAGCACGTGAATCATGACATTTTTTATAAAAAAACACGCTGAACGTGACAATATGTGTATTAATAAATCATCAAAAATCTCCTTCTAAATTCATGATGGTTAATAATTGTTTAAATTGTGTTTCTTATTATTTCCTTGGTACTCTATCACCGTAACACCACTGAATACCAGTGGTGGCTGCACCGATCATATAGGGTTGCCAGATATCCCGATTTAGGAAGAAGTCTCCGATCTACTAATTGTTAATACTCCCGTCTACCGCGTCAATCTTCAAAACTCCAGCAATTTGGCAATACCTTTTTTTTTTCAAGAAAATTTTTATAAAATAAAATTAACGCTTTAAAATGGCATCTATAGTGCTTTTAAAAAACCGGTGGTGGCCCTAAGTGGGGTGTGAAGGGGGGAGGGAGCCTTCATTTCCCGCATAGAGGCAGGGCACCCAAAGCAATTTTATTTTGTTTTTTTTGTTTTTTTTTATTTTTGTTTCGAAAAATATGAAAATTGAATAAAGACAATTATTGTTGATTATTTTTTAAATACGTTTTAATTATTATAATAATAACCTGGTTTTACATTTTTTGATGAAATTATTTTGTGGTCGTAGGAAAAATATTGTAAAACACTTGTGTGAAAAGTGATTTCCCACACTCGTAATGTAATATACTATAAATGATTTACTAAATACATCATATCATTCTAGTTCGGTTTTGCACAAATCAACTTTTATCTAAATTTAAATTTAAAACTATTTGTAAATTCTTTTTCGGCTTTGTCCATGTATGTTTCTATTATAAATAAATAAATAAATGAACGTCAGGCTTTGTAAACCAATAAACCTACTCTATGTCGAATTAATTTGATTATTTTATTTAAAGTTGAATGTCAACCTGACCGCACCCATACAACACAAAACCATTTATTTCAAACTTCCAAAAATTCAAAATGTTAACGTATTCCCTGTGTTTGTTCCAACTGCAGAGTTATATTCGAATCAATGCGGAAAATATATTCAATGTGTATATCTAGACAGTCTAAAAGAGAGAATTAGGTATATAAATTTACTGTATAGGCAAATGCGGCAAAGTTTGAATGAAAATAAGACGACAGAAGTTTATAAATGCAAAAGTTATTCTAGAGGGAGAGGCTTATTTTCACTCATTCATGTACGCTAGGTGCGAATTTACCTCGTGGTGTGCTCCACAGCCCTAATTTGTATTCCTATAATACATAAGTAGCGTCAATGGAGGTTAGAAGAAACTCCAGATGTCGGCTTATAAGAGCGGTTATGCGGTATTATGGTATTGTTTGGTATTTTAGCTGAAAGAACATTCCAAGGCCCTCCAAGAGGGAATATGAAATGATTGCTAACCAACTATTTAAAAATTATTTAAAATGTCTAGGGGTGCCAGTAGAAAAGATTTAAAAATTAATAAATTAGACACCACTTCCAATTGATAATCACTAGCATAAGAACTAAACAGGTGCAGAGATTTGGGGAAGACCTATTTGAAGTAGTGAATATAAAAAAAAGGATGTTGATGATTGTTTCAGGTTTTGACACCAACAAAGCAGGTTCAAAACAAAGATTTGCTTAAAGACGCTTAGATAGGTTCTTTGCCGGGGCTATTTTCATTGACAGGATAAGAAACCAAGTCTAAGGGCTATGGAACAAGAATTTCAAATGTCATAACAAAGGGGACAGAAAGAAAATTGAGACAGACGCATAAACTATTGAATAGAGACCAAGGGCAGGCAAAAGTTGTAGGGGTAGACACCAACTGGCAAAAGAGGCAAATTAAAAAGAGTTTCTTTCAAATATAATTATCGCAATAGTAGGAGCTTTTGGAGAAGCCCTATCAGCTCTACGATTTAAATATAGCTATATATTATTCGGTTTTAATTTATTTACATTTATAAGATATTTTTGTACTTTTAAAAAACTATTATTATTTTAATAAATCAATTTAGGCTCGTATAGTAGTTTTATTTGTACAGTACAAAATAGCTAAAGAAATTAGGTTTAAAATTTTTTGTAATTAATTTTGAAAAATAGTTTTGTTATATTTTTTAAACATATAGGTTATGGTTTTTCATATTGTACTTATGATGTATAAATTTAAAGTTCTTTATATTTGACTATTTTTGACATTTTGTGCTTTCGCATTTTTGAGGTTCTCTTTGATATTTTTATTAAAATACATTTTACATCCAAAAAA